TATTTTGGGATCCTTAGACTTTAATTGTACCATTATCAATGCAACAATTAGGAACTTTCCCCTACCCAACATCAGCCCTTAGTGAGTTCCCTAGTTTTAAATGCACGTGTCATTCAACACATTCTTTAGAATAGTATTATTCCCAAAGCTAGTGACCAAATAAATATCAATCTTTTATTATCCTTGGCCACATATTATTATATGTCTGACATCCAATTTAATGCTTGTGATATGATAATTACATGCATGTAAAACCTAACTTCTATCAAAAATCTGTGGGGTCAATAAAAGCATAACTTAGCCTTAGGACACCTCATTGACTATGTTGAGGAAACCAAATACATTTTGACCTTCCCTGCACCACCATACCATCTACCTACTTTCTTTATAAATAATTCCTTTCAAATTATCTATAGTGAGTTCCATAGGATCTTGGCTGATACATTTAGTTCTAATGAAGAAGTAGAAGCTAGGAGAACACTATCAAAGCCTAAGTACCACTACCCTCACGATGCATGGACAATATATTTTTCCTGATTAGAGCTGAAGGTAGATATACACATCAAACAATCTACTTAGCGTTGGAAGCATATATAGAAGTAGTGTGAGATTGAATATGCATGGTTTTGTTATCAGATTGTCTCACTTGACCGCTACTTCTAGTCACCAGCACCAGCACCACCACCACCACCACGTAATCAGGGCCCCTCCTATAAGTAGCATGAGATGTAATGTGTAGTTTAATCTTTGTAGTGTGTTTGTATTTATTTTTTTTATTATTCTTATTTTGTATAATTTTTAGTCCATAGTTCTCCTTTTTGGTGAAATCAAAAGGGGAAGTAGGGAGGTATTAGTTGTACTAGTTTTTTTTTTATTAGTACAATTTTGTGTTACTTATTATTTAGTGATTATTTTGATTTTTTTTCTTTTAGTTTATGTTATTTTCTTAGCAAAAAAATTAATTAATTAACAAAGTTTCTCCCTATTTTTAAAAAGGAATCACTTAGTAAAGGGGATAGCTTAGCAAAATATTAAAATGAATTTGTAATTCCTACCAACAATATTTACCAACATAAAAGGGGAAAATTATTAGAATCGGAGATACCTACCTTGTATTTTGATGATTTTAAATATTATTGGATGATTATTTAGTTTATCATATTTTATGGACTGCATATTTTTTATGTGCATCACTAATATTTCAAGTTCAACAAACACATCATCAGAGAATCAGAGCTCAAGAAAGGGTTGTGTAGGTTTGACCTATTTGAAAGAGTCTAATTTTATTTTTCTTGAGTTAATGTATGAAAATGTATATGTTAGCTTAACAATCATGCGCACACACACAAGGGAAATGAAAAAAATAAATATTTTAATTTTTCTATCCAATTGTACTATATGATCAAGATCGTGTTGTATGATCTATTTAAATAGAAACTAATTAAAATATTTAATTTAAATGAGAAAAATAAATTTCAAATATAACTAATCATACTATATGACTAACAAGCATACTGGATAATTAACAATTATGAGAAACCCCATCGTTGAATCAAACATACTAAAAATAGGCAAATTTAAAATTTGAAAATTAAACTATTCATACTATACATTGTATGATCTTTTATAATATTGCCTAATTTAAGTTAAGTAATTAATGAATCAAATCAAATTTGAATTAATTACATATTGTACTGGACGATTGTGTATCATATAGTATGAACCACACAACAACCTTCTAGTTGAATTGTGGTTCATCCTGAACGATCTGATGCTTGATTTAAACTAATAGTATAGTATGATTTATAATCATATTAAATGATTTCTAATCATGCTGGATGACCTATAATGGTTTTGAACTAATCATATTATATGAGGCTTCTATTACACTATACAAAAAGAGTAATCAGAATTAAAAAATTAAGGTTTTTAAAAGCCCACTATTTAAACTATAATTAAGATATTGAATAAGTCTTTTGGCAGTCAAAGGAATGTTTTTTTCTTGAGTTAGTTTAAAGAGAAGGCATTAAGTAAAGTGGGAGAAAGGGTGAGGTTTTGTAAGATATAGAAGATCCCTATAGGTTTTAATGGTATGTAAGAGGGGTTTTGACATGGTTGCTCTAGCCAACCTACACTTAAGTTCCTCCATGTATCAATGTTCATCATGATGGAAGATTTATGAAGAATCCTTTGGTATCAAAGGTTATTGGCTACTCTACTTCATTGTGAAGGTGAAATTGATTTGGGCTACTCCACTACACCTAGGAGGTGAAAGGGATTTCCAATCTTTACCTCACCGGGAAGGTGAAAAGTTTTCATCCCACCACAACATTGAGAAGGTGAAAGAAATTTTGGCTCTTTTCTAGATTGAGAAGGTGAAAAGGATTTTAGCTCTCCGCCACACTGAGGAGGTGAAAGGGATTTTAGCTCTCCACCATAATGAGAGGCGAAAAGGATTTCGACTCTCCACTACACCAAGGAGATGTAAGTTATTTTGTGAGGGCATCTTTACCTAACTCTGGGTGATAAAGGAGAGTCACAATTATTTAGTGTAATACCTAAAATGGAGGACTTCATGTAGTGAACATAGGTCAAATTGATCGAACCAGTATAAAAATCTTGCTTGCATTCTTTTATTTTATGCATTTACTTTCTATAATTTTTAACTTTCTTGTATATCTTATTTTAAAAATTTTGGTTTGTGTTTGCCTATCATTGTGATATAAAGAAAATTGTGGCTGATCAAAGTTAATCTTTGTTGTTAAAAGAATATAAACAATTAAAAAGGATAAAAAGTTTGGTATTTTTCTTTTCTATAAAAATAAAAAAATTAAAATTTATATTTGTTTTGCTATTTGGTTCCACATTAAAATTTTGAATTTACTTTTTAGTTTGAAAAGATTTTGAAATAGTTAAATAAAAACATTAATTCAACCCCCCTAGTGTGCTATTCCATAGTTCGATTGTTTTCACAACCAACTATTAAACTTTTATTATTATCATCTCAAAATTAAAGTAAAAGTATTCTTAAGTAAATGATATATTCCAGTTCACCTTTTATAAGGACTATGAAAGTGCGATGGTGGTCTAATGATTCTAGTTGATGGATAATGGAGGTCAAAAGTACCATGGCCTTTGGGCTATGATGGTTGAAAGGAACTTGGTTGGTGAAAAACCAAGGTTGGAATGATTGTTGCTAGGAGAATGAGATTAGAAGATTGCAGTCGATGAGAGATAGAGGTCAGATGAACTATAGTCGAGAAACAATGGTTATAAGACCATGGTCTGGTAACAATGGTTTGAGGATTATAGTTAGTGGATGATAAAGTTCATAGGACTATAGTCAGGCAATGATTGTTAGAAGGGCAATAGTCGGGGAATTATAGTCTAATGTATGGCATGGTGGTTGGGTGAAATTATGAGGTGGTGGCTAGGTAAAGGTCCAATAGCCATCGACTAGTGAAAGTCTTGTGGTGATGATTGACTGACAAAAATTTGGGGATGATGGTTGGGCGAATGTTCATAATGAAAGATGGGTGGCGAACGTCTGGCTGTGTTTGGCCGGTGTGGGGTTTGATGTTGGTGGTGCTCAAGTGAAGCTTTGGGATTATTAGATTCTAAGAGCTTTCTTGAATCTCTAGCACAAGTCCAAGCCTCCTCCTCATGTGGGGAACAAGAGTATATTTATGGATTTTTGGGACTAACATGCTCCATAAATATGAAGAATAATCTAGCATAAATCTGAAGTAGTCCATTAGATGACTTATATTGATTCCCTCGATTATAAATCATTTATTCAGCACTTACGTACCTATATGATGTCAGAATCGTGCGATCATAGGGTCGTTGGATTAGTTTTACCGAGCTGCTTAATTCAATTATAAATATGCTAGATTTGGAGGCTTTTTAGTCACCCAATTAATATTTTCAGGCTTCTGAATATGCTTTAGCCCTTGATTTAGACTCATTTGGGCTTAAATTTGGTTAATTTTGCAACCTTTGGGTTTGTCTCGTTGAGACTTTCAGTTCTAACCTAAGTTTGTTAAAATTGGAACTTGAATGGTCTCAAATTTAATTTTGAAAGTTTCTAATTGAAATATGCCTCGAGATTCAGGACTGACTAGGTAATTTTTTATGACACATCAAAAGTAATATCATAGCTAGTAGCACTAAAATCTTACAAAAAAAAAAATTGACAAATAATTTACCTTCAAAAATAATATAAGGATAATCAAAGAACAAACAAGAATGAGATTCATTTGTCATATTACATATGACTCATAATTCACTATTTAAAACCTTGATAGTCAAAATTCTTTGAGTCTTCAAATCATTAATTCAAATAATCCATATAAACACAAAATTTGTGATAGATATATCTAAATGTAGGTGTAAGTGAGTCAAGTCAGTTTGTTCTCGACTCGCTAATGAGCTTGCGAGTCGAGCTTATCGAGTTTTGTGTTCGATCTTGAGCATGTAATCAGGCTTGTATACTAAACAAGCTCGAGTTTGAGCTTAGTCTGATTCTACTCGTTAGCTCATCGAGCTACTCAATTTTAAAATATATTTTAATTTTTTTTAATATAATCTTTTCCTTAGAATTTTTTTTAAGATAAAAAAATTGAGCTTCATAAACAAGACGAATTTGAGCTTTTAAATTGATCCGAGCTCATGCTTTTCAGCCGAACCGAGCTCGAGCTTTTTAAACGAGCTTGAGTAACTGAGTCGAGCTTGAGCTTGATTTTTATACGACGAATCGAGTTCGAGCTCATTAAACTAGCGCAAGTCGAGCTCGAGCGCGAGTTTGAGCTCAGTATGAGCCAAGCAAACTCAACTCGATACTGTCACATCTTGACTCCACTCCACTTATTTACACCCCTAGAAATACCTTTGTGCTAACCATCCTTAATTTTTTTTGTATTTATTAATAACAAAAATATGTGGCGCTCGTTGGAGGAAAGCTTATCTATTTGACTCCGCAGAGAATAATTTATGCTGTTTGCGAATGCTTCTTGCAATTGCCCTAGCTTCGCTGCAATCCGAAGAGAAGCATCGGTGAGCTAATAGATAATCGAAGATGAAGAAATTTCCATCAGTTCTCTTAATCCCTTTCCTTCTCTTCACCTTCTTCATGTTCTTCGTTCCAATCCGCGCCACCAGTTCCATCGTCTTCACCACTCTGGGCCGCAGCCTCTACTGTTTCGACATCTTCGCCACGCTGATATCCCCCTCCTCCTCCCAAGCCGAGCTCCAGCTTACCGATGGCGTCTCGGTCAACTACAACGGCTTCTTCCCCTCGTCCCCTTCTTCCCTTATATCCCTTTTCAACTTATCCTCTTCTTCCTCACGCACAAATAACATTGAGGGCCTCATCTACGTCACCGAGCGCTCCGGCTATTCCACTATCTACCTAGACATCTACCCCTCCTCATCCTCCCCATCCAATCGACGCGAAACCCTAGAGCTCCGCACCCGTCTCCATTTTGCCCTTCTTCCCGAGCACGATGGCCTACCTTCTGTCTCCATGAAGGACCGTCCTTCCCTCTCCGGCGATCGCCTCATATTCGTCTCCACTCACGAGCCCTCTCACTCGCCCAGGCAGAGTTGGGCGGCGGTGTACTCAACCCACCTTCCCACCGGCTCCACCACCCGCCTCACCCCCGATGACATCGCCGACTTCAGCCCCGCCGTCTCTCCCTCTGGTAGATGGACGGCTGTCGCCTCTTCTGGGGAGCGCGGATGGACGGGGGAAGTACAGGAACTCAATACAGACATCTACGTCTTTAAGACTAGCGATGGATCGGCAAGGACTTTGGTTGTCGAACATGGCGGATGGCCTTGTTGGGCGGATGATTCCACCATTTACTTCCATCGTAAGAGCTCCGATGAATGGTGGAGTGTCTACAGAGCAGCTCTTAGCACTCATGGAGACGCCCCTTTGCTAATTTCCATTGAAAGGATAACCCCTCCCGGTTTCCATGCCTTCACTCCGGCTGTAAGCGCTGCTGCTCCGGGTCTTATAGCGGTGGCGACAAGAAGAGCCAGCTCCCAATTCCGGCATATTGAGCTAATAGATCTAAGAGATGGAAACATTAATGCTTATATTGAGGTTACTAGAGTTATTTCCCCTAATGCTCACCACTTCAACCCTTTCTTCTCTCCGGATGCTCGCAGGATTGGCTATCATAGATGCCGAGGCAGCCGGAATGGCGGAAACCCTCCATTGCTTCTGGAGAATCTCAAGAGCTTAAAACCGGAGACATTTTCACTATTCAGAATTGACGGGTCTTTTCCTTCCTTCTCTCCAGATGGTCGACAGATTGCATATGTGAATCTTCCTGGTGTATATGTAGTTAATTCTGATGGCTCTAATCCACGAGAGGTCTACAATGGCAATGCTTTTCCGACTGCTTGGGATTGGAAAAGAAAAGGGGTTATTTACACCAGCAATGGTCCTGAGTTTGCTCAAGAAAGTACTGGAGTTGATATCATTTCGATTACTCTGAATGAAGATGATGACAAAGCTGAGCCTTTAATCAAGAAACTAACTTCAGCTGGGAAGAACAATGCATTCCCTTCTCCATCACCAGATGGCAAGTGGGTGGTTTTTCGATCGGGACGGTCCGGATACAAGAATCTATATGTAATGGATGCTGTTGAAGGAGAAAGCGCAGGAATTTACCAGCTCACAGAAGGACCTTGGAGTGACACCATGTGTAATTGGTCTCCTGACGGAGAATGGATTGCCTTTGCTTCTGACAGGGATAACCCTGGAAGTGGGAGCTTCTCTATCTACATGATTCACCCAAATGGAACTGGATTGAGAAAAGTTGTGCATAGTGGGAATGGAGGGAGGACAAACCATCCATGGTTTAGCCCGGACTCTGCAAGCTTGGTGTTCACATCAGACTATGCTGGGGTCTCAGCAGAGCCTATCTCGAATCCTCACCATTACCAACCATATGGAGAAATTTTCACAGTAAAGATCGATGGCTCTGAGATTAAGCGTCTCACGCACAACTCTTTTGAGGATGGTACCCCGACATGGACACCGTTCTTCTTGGAGCCGACTGATGTTGTTGAATCTTTGCAAGGTGTTGCTCATTGCCGCTTTGATGACTGCCACTGGCTCAGCTTGCAGAACCGAATCAAGAATGTCTTGAATGGAACCGGATGCTAAGTAGTTTGGCTTTTACGTAGTTTGCCAAGGAGTTTTGATCACTGTTGTATACGTATTTGTCTCTGTTGGGTTTCAGAAAGCTTCTGTACATAAATAAGTACATGGTGAGTTATATTTTGTTGCAAAAATATCAGAAGATATAATGATAGAAACATAAAATCCTAGATGACTTATCTTTCTAGTTTTTTCTTTTCCATTTACTTTTTTTTTTTATTGTTGAACATATATAAAGGTCTGAATGATTTTGTATTGACTTGTCAGAAAATAAAACAGAATGAAACAAACAACAAAGAAGAAAACAACGGGGAAGAACAACAGGATTTAAAGTTAAAAAAATGTGAAATTGGAAAAAAAATCATAGATTCACATCATACTAAGAAATCCATTTTAAAAAATGGGAGAATTGTATTGATCTTCATACTCACACTCATGTTCACTTTCTCCATAAATGAATACATTATATATTTTTTTTAGTTGTATAACGAAAATAAAAATTGACTCAACCGGCCAGCTCCAACCGGCCGGTAGAGCCTTAACGCTAATTCTGTGTCAAAACTTCTTTATAGCAATAAGACATTGAACTTATAGCACAATGGATTTGAGTTCAAAATGTTGTTGCGCTTGAACTATAATGTTGTGGTTTGTCTCAGAAGGGTTCATTCTCGTTGGATTAATAATGCCATGATGTTGCACTGACAAAAACATTTTTTGGGGGCTTTGCCCTCGAGCAGGGGGTATGCTGCCTCTAGTAAGCTCTTAGCTGAGCTTAACCGATGGAATTGAGGTCTGATTCAATAGTACAATTCAATTGATCGACAAACATATTTCACAAATAACTAACAATATTGATTGCAATCAGTTATTCTTTTGATCTATAGCACCAATCATAGAATAGAAATTGTTGTGTGGATCACCCTTGTCTTAACCTTCATGAAGATCAACTGAATCTGAACATAGCTTCAGTTCATCAACTATCACTGCCTTCATCAACATGTCTGCAATATTTTGAGGTCTGTATGTTTTCTAAAGATAAGTGGCCATCTTTTAGGTGTGGACGCATGAAATGATATCAAATTTAGATATGTTTTGTCCTGCTATAGAATGCAATTTTCTTGGTTAGATGAATAACACTCAGTCTATCATTATATAGTTTCTTATTCTTTTTCTCTTTGCTAAATTCTATCATAAAACTACATTCCCCTATAGATTAACTCCTATATATCCAAAGCAAAGTGCTTTGTCAACTATCCCTCTCAAATGTCTAATAATCCATTTAATGTCCCCAATGATGTTTTCCAAGGTTCATGAATCGATGGGCAATTCTCACTACACATGATATATTTAGCCCTATATAGATCATAACATACATCAAACTTCTACCAGTTGAAGCATACAAAGTTCTCTTCATTTGTCCTTGCTCTACTTCAGATTTAAGAGAATGTTCCTTAGATAGTTGAAAGTGACTACTTAAAAGAGTGTAAACTAGCTTTTCTTAAATCTTGTTTCTTTGTAGTACATTTTAAACATAATTAGCTTGAGATAATTTCAATGTATCTGCACTCTTATCCTTATTGATTCTCATACCATGTATTTTTTTTATTGAACCCAAATATTTCATTTCTAATTTTTTTTTTATAACTACTCATTTAATTCTCTTATCTTCTCTATATATGATCCTATAATCAACATATCATCCACATTAAAGAGCAAAAATATATAAGAGCTATAATTTTTTTTAAGAAACGATAATGATTTGCCTAACGGTTTGTGTGCCTTTTTTCTGACACGAAGCTATCAAATATTATGTACCTCTATCTTGGTGCCTTCTTCAACCCATATATGTTATTTTTAAGCAAACAAAACTTGTCTTTTTTTCTTGGAACCACATATCCTTGAGCTTGCAATATGTACGACTCTTCTTCTAAGTTACCATGGGATAAAGTAGTTTTTACATCCATCTTACTATATGTAAATTACCCTTTGTTATTATATCTAACACAACTCTAATTAATGTCATCCTCACAACTCACAACTAAAAAGAAAATTTCAGTATACTCCTCTCATTCCTATCCTTGTACTACAACCCTTACCATATAGCACTTATTGCCATCAGATTCTTCTTTTTGAATTTTTAAACCCATTTGTTATGAAGTACTTTCTTGCGCTTTATTAGTCTATCAATTCCTAAGTTTAATTTGACATAATGATTGCATTTCACCATCTATAGCTGACTCCCACTTCTTTTAATCATCAATTTGTATGGCTTCATCATAGCACTCTCGTTGACCACCATTTGTCAGTAATAAATGATATAAGAAAGAAGAATACCTTTGTCAAGCTTGTGAGATTTTATTTAAGTTTCTGACTTTAGTTGCAGGTGTCTGAGGAACTCTCTATGCTTCATCTGCTTGAGCACAATTCATATTTTTTTCGTATTGATCATTAATATCCTTTATCTTAACATATTTGGAAGAATATTTTGGAGTTTTATTCTTTATGTACTTGTATAATTTAATTTCATTGAATGTGACATCCTTGGTCCTAATGAATTTTTTATTCTAATAGTCCTAGAATGTATAATCAATAAATATGCATTTGATAGACTTTTGGTCATGCTTACTCCTAAACCTTGCATCTATATGAACATAAAAGGCACAACCAAAGACTAAGTTGAGATAAACTTATCTCCTTTTCACTCCAGACTTCCTTAACAACCCCTTCATATAGAGGAATTGATGAACAATGATGATCTGATAAACAATATTATTCATTACTTTTACCTATAACTATTTGGGTAGACTAGCTTATTGTCTCATGCTCATGACACACTCATTGATAGTTCTATTCATCCACTCTGTAATACTACTATATATTTTGTTGTTCTTGTGATAGTGAATTTATGTTTGATCACATTCAAATAACAAAACTCTATTAACATCTTCTCATGATACTCACCACCATTACCTATAGGACACCTACAATTTAAACTTGTGTCATTCTGAACACGACTTTTCAATTCTTGAATACATCAAATATATTTAACTTGTGTTTTCAAATATATACCTTTACCATTCTAGTGTGATCATCAATGAAGTGAATGTATGAAGACCCTTCTATGAAAGAAACTGGAGTAGGAATCCACACATCTATATGTATTAATTTCAACTTATTTGACTTCAATTTCAAACCAATCTTTAAAAACTATCATTCTTTAGCTTTTCACAAATAGATTCTTTATATAAATCTAAATCTATAAACTTTAACTATGGAACCTTTTTTTTAGAAAGAAGAGATTTCATACCTTTCTTACTCATTGGCCAAGCTAATGGTGCCAAAGACCTTCATGAACATCTATTTCTGCTACTCCAATCAATTCAGTCATTTTCTTTCTTAGGAACTTTTTCATTTAACGCTAACTCCATGATAACCTCAAAGTTTAACTTTATATTCTCTAAAGAGTTACTCACTTTTCATAATTAGATTTTTCATATATTCTCTAAAGATAGAACCAACATGCCTTAACCTAAAGATAGAACCAACATGTCTCTAAAGATAGAACTAACTTAGTATAGTGTTCAAATTGTTCAAATGTTCAACCATTGAATAACTCTGGTGTTCAATCAAAAGATATGGCCTTCTCGGTCAATTTCATCAAAAGGATTACAATTTGGGGAAATAGCTTGATGAATTTCTTATAATATCCAACAATGCGAAGAAATAAATGAATTTATGAAAATGAAGTTGATAATGGCCAATTAGTTACTTCTTACACTTTTTAGGGATCCCTTGATATTCATTATCAATTACCACATTTCCCAGAAATGTTGCAGACTTCAATAAGAATTTGCACTTAGAGAATTTAACATACAACTAATTGATAGCCCATTGCTGCTATTAGCTTATGAACAATTATTGCGTCCTCCGACTGGACGTAGAGGAACGTCCGGTCGGAGGCAAATTCCTGCCAAAAAATGAGTTGTACCAAGAAAATACCGAGCAATACCAAACAATAATGAAGAATACCATCATTTGAAGACCCAATACCGAGTTATACCGGGCTTTACTGAGCAAATACCGAGTTATACCAAAGTAAAAACTCGGTACAACTCGGTATTTCTCGGTACAACTCGGTATAACTCGGTATTGGTCTTCAGAGAACGGTATTCCTCCTTATTATCAAATAATACCTAGTTGTACCGAGCAAATACCTAGTTTTTTGACGGGAAATTGCCTCCGACTGGACGTTCCTCTACATCCTTGCAGCGGACGTAATAAAAGTTCATTAGCTTATGCAAATGCAAAGTTTCATGCTTTAGCATGAACACATTATTTAGTTTCTGATGAAAGCTTTATTTTTCTTTAGTGTAAGTCCTGTTTAATGTAAGTGCACATGTCATATCTAGTAATATAATGATGATAAGAGTGAAAATCCCATGTAGAGCAAAATGCAAATATCCTAAGTTCCCTTTACTACTAACTATTAAACTGTTAAATTTATCTCTCTAAATGATTTAAAAGGGTGGTGCAGATTAAAAGTAAAAGCTTCAAATGTAGATAGTAAATTCACTAATTTTTAGAAATTCTAAACATATAATTTTTAAAACTACATGACTAGTTAATAGTGATTTACTGCTTGTTATTGTTTTGGATCAGAGCATAAGTACTTCTCATATCTGTCAAGATCGTTAGAGTATTAGCTAGGATCCGTCCTAACTATAATTATTCTATCTCCATAAGACCCCAAAATCCTAACCGCTATATGTCAATGTTATGATCAGACTACATTTTAAGATCTATATTTTTTTTCTTTTATTCCTCCATTGAGGCTCTAGATAACACTAGGTTTTTAATTTATGTATGGCCTATACGTAAACCGATTGAAGCATAGAGATTTTAAAATAACATGAATACTTTAAAAATTAAACTTGCTCTAAGCAATAAATTCCTTTGAAATAATATTGGATTCTGAGAATTATTTAGCCACACATGGAGGTATTATTACACATAACAAACATCTTATTCCACTAAATAAATAACATGTTACAAACTGATAACAAAAAATAAATAAGACAAATATTTTAAAACTAGGATTATAAATGATCAGGAATTAAGATTACACCACTTTGCATTTTTTAACTTTGGTCGACACTAATATAACATTCCAATAATGACTCCACAAT